ACGATTTTCTTTTTTTTTGTTGGAATTTTGGTCAACACTGCATCAAAATTTTTCCCGCTGCAGACAATGCCTTTTCTGACATAACATTTGGAAACTACAGACTGGATGTTAACCTTATATGTGGGAATACAACCTTAGATGAGACATTCTGCTGAAGTGCTATGCACAATACATTACGGGTTTTGCGCAGGTGCAGTACGTTCTGCCGACGTGCTGACTGCGTCAACCCTACGTACCTTCTCTTAAGCAGAGTTTTGTAGTCTGTGGTCTCCTCGGCGAGCGGTTTTACGGAAATGTTCACGTCTCGCGAGACTTGGCCGCGAGCGTTGGTGGCGAGAGCGGTGTAGCGACCGGAGTCGGTGCTGAGCGCAGCGGTGATGTCAAGCCTACGGACGGACGGACAGACACATGGGTGAACACACAGACAGACAGACGGACATAGGTATGAGTAGAGTGGACTCATTCTTCAGCTGACCGACAGTTTTTGCACCTCAATCAGTCTTCAGTAAGACATCTGACAGGCAGTATAAAGGTTCTAAACAGGAACCATGCGGCTCCAGAAGTCTTACTGAGGAAAAATTCTCGTGCAAAAGATGTCGGTCAGCTGAGGAATGCTTCCATCTACTTATATAACAAATACAAAAGGACAGACACAACACACACTAGGCAAGCAAGGCAGTGATGTGCAGCAGACAGGAGCTTAAGCTTTTTGGTTTCCTTTTGACGAATATTTTTAAGGAAACACACAACAAAAAGTTAGCTACTCCGGAGAGCTTTCGAGATGCACACTCTCTTCTTCAACCTCGTCTTGAAGTTCTCTTATTTATTAACATCTCCAGTAGTGATACATTATGTAGAGCCTAGACTAAAATAATACAAAGTATAACAAGTTTTTCTTTCGAGGTTCAGCTATTTTGACACAATGTCTTGAGAAAGTTTTGGCTCACCTGAAGACATTTCCCTCCTTCTTCATCTTGACCCTTTTGTCCTTGTGGACTGTCCTTCCCTCCTTCTGCCACTGGACGTCCGGTGGGGGGATGCCTGACACCTCGCACGTAAGGGACAGGGGGTTACCCTCCTCTGCGGGAGAGAAAGAATGAGGGAATGAGTGAATGGATGGATATCAAACATCTCGCATGTCAGGAACAGGGGGTTTCCCTCCTGAATGAATGAAAGAAAGAATATGGAGGAAGGGGAGGAATTTAGGACCAAACAAACATACAAATGTAGTTTTATTGATATGTCTTATGCTTTATACCCTCAACCTGTATGGGTTTATAAGACAAACTGCTGGACTCTTGCTACTTGCTACACAATGTAACCCAACACCATAGATGTACCAGTTACCATGGTGACAGATGTCTGGTCCAGGTCATTGACCTTATTTCTTTGGAATAGAATTAATAAGAGAAAACAGAGCAATAACTATATGATCCTAGACATAAGTATGCATGCTCCTTGCCTGTACTAACCTATATTCTGGTCCAGAGGGTCTTTTAAGAAAACTGGCGGTCCTTCCTTCAGTCTGGGGATCTTTGGTTTCACTGCTGGCTCCGGAACTGGCTCAGGTTTGGTAGGAGCTGCATGGAAAAAATCACATAGTAAACATTATAGACATACGGACATGTGTACGTGTAGGATTTTCACAGTAACATGTTTGTAGTCACCAATCAGCGCAATTATATGTTTGCAGTGACCAATCTGCATCATTTCTTGTTTTGAATTGGCCAATCAGCACCAAGGACAGGTTAGCCTTAACCAATCTGCATCACTAACAGCATTTTGGTGACCAATCAGCACCAAGGACAGGTTTGATAGATGTAGTATTAACCTTCTCCCTGCTGCCTAACCCCATAAACAATACAGATTTGTTGCCAAACAGCTACTGTAGCATGCTGAAGGTTAATGGCCATGTCCCTAGTGCTGAAACTGTGGTTATTAATATCATTAACCTTCTCCCTGCTGCCTAACTATATAACCAATACAAACTTGATGCTCAATGGCTACATTAGCAGGCTGAAGGTTAATGGCCCTGTCCTTAGTGCTGAAACCGTGGTTGTTATGAACCTCCCTGCTGCCTAACCCAGTAACCAACACAATCTAGTGCCGAACGGCTACCTCAGCACGCTGAAGGTTAAAAAGTTCTGCGTACCTTTGACCTTCAGCCTGGCCAAGGTTGTGGCCTTCCCCGCAGTGTTCTGTGCCACGCACGCGTACATCCCAGCATCCTCTGGGAAGATCTCGGGGATGTGCAGCGATTGGTCGTTGCCCTGTGATGTCACCTGGAAGTCATCGCTGGGCTTGATCGGTTTTCCTTCAAAAAGCCACGTGACTTTCGGCGCAGGTGTACCTGAATTACAGAAGTTAACTCTAAGATAGACTCACAAGAACATTTTCTTGAAATCACATTGTCTTGGACCTAAAATAAGTCAAAGTATTGCATAGTTGCAGAGACTATAACATGAACAAACAAAATAGAAAAGAAAACAATTATAATAGGTAACCACAGGATACAGCAGTTAAGTTGAAATGTAGAAGTGGAAACATTAACTTCATGCTGGACCATAACAACTTGTTTTCTTGGTTCTAACATATAATGAACATTTGCCAAGAGGACAGGATTAAAACAAACAAATGTAAACTCACAACTGGACCAATACACTCTTTCTTCATCTATATCAATGTCAACAAGTCATAGTTTGTTTGATATGTCCTCAGTACCATCATGAAATTTTGATCCCTCCAACAAGCCAGTTTATACATGGTATTTTTCAAATGTAATGAAAATTTGATTTTTTAATCTATAGTAGTGATAAGTTCACAGTTCCAAAGTGACAGGGAAAATTGTGAACATAAATTAAAGTACCTTAAGAAAAGTCACAGTTTAATTACAGTATCTGAAAGTGGTTTGCTATTGCAGGAGAACAATACCTGTATGTGTAAAATGTGAAATGCAGATATCATTGAGAAAAAAGTTTTGCTTAGGCCACACCAATTTTATTTGTTGGTTCTCGGATTCGCCTCTTCGTTTTTTTCTGATTTGCAAAAAAAAAATTTGATTCTGGTCCTGAATCAACTGAAAAATGCTCATGTTTTGCCCCCCAACAGTTGAGGAAAGTCCTTTTCTTCCTAGTTGTTACAGTTTTCCCATCTATCATTGCAGTGGTTTGATTAAAAGTTCAAAATTCAATGTTTAAACTTTAACCCAGCCTTTTTTGTTGACTTCATGGCTCATTTTGTAGCATTCAAGCCTATAATAGGATGCCTGGACCTGTTTTTATTTTTATTTTTTTTCGCCCTGTCGCTTCATATTTTTTCTGAAAAAATCCGAGAACCAACAAATTAAATTGGTGTGGCCTTACCGGAGACTTTGCAGGCAAACATGACGCCGTCCCCGTCCCGTGCGGAGACGTCCTGTAACGGTCGCGTGAAGACGGGAGGGTCTCCGCTGGGGGCCAGCTGCAGATGCTCTGGGAACAAGAACAAACCAAATAAGGAATCAGCTCTGGGAACAAGAACAAACCAAATAAGGCAACTCCTCTGGGAACAAGAGCCGGCAGGTCAGACCAAATAAGGAAATAGCTCTGGGAACCAGTACGTCACACCAAATAAGGAAACAGCTCTGGGAAAAAGAATGGGCAGGTCACACCAAATAAGGAATCAGCTTTGGGAACGAGAACAGGCAGGTCACACCAAATAAGGAGACAGCTCTGGGAACAAGAATGGGCAGGTCAGACTAAAGGCAAAACACATACTCAAAGGTCCACTTTTTATCTATATGTCCAAGATTTTTCTTTAAAGCTGGACTGATTTGTATCACCAGCGGGACTGGAATCCTACGTGTCTCTGATTTTTCCGTTGGAAAACTCTCAAAAATGCTGTAAAGGCCATTTCAGAAGGTTCAATTTTCACAATTTTCCAGGCCCTCAGACCCCCTTTCAGAGCAAACAAGCACATGACTAGTGCCTGCAAAACTGTTTAGTTAGGTATCAATCATTAACTTTTGGTCTAAACCAACTCATACATCAGCAAATGTATGGGTGACTTATACATGTTGCTTACTGCATACAAGCTTAAAGTACTCAAAACTTCCTTTCTTTAAAATTACAAATTTTTCTATCATTTTATTATTTGAAATCACCTTTTAGCAAGTCCCTAGGGTTGGAATAAAAGATTATGAAAAAAGTTCATTCAGTCTCCCTCAGCCACAATATGGTTCAAACTAGACTTTGGCTTAGGGCGAGGCTGCCACATCGGCAAAAAGAAAAATCATGGCGGCCGCACCGTTGAGTTTGGGGACACATTTCAAGGAAGAACTGTCCTGCAGCATCTGCCTGGAGCTGTTCACCAGGCCCAAGGTGCTGCCCTGTCAGCACACCTTCTGTCAGGACTGTCTACAGGACCATGCAGGGAGGGGAGGGACCTTCCAGTGCCCAATCTGTCGTCGGCAGGTCAGGCTGCCACCCCAGGGGGTCGCAGGTTTGCCCGATAACCACCTGGTCACAAGTTTGTGTGAGAGACTGGAAAACCAGGCTACACTGTCAGGGGAAACAAGGGAGCAACCCCAGTCTGCAAACAGGTGCAGTTATCACCCTACTGAAGAGCTCAAAGTGTACTGCAAGCAATGCCAGATACCAGTTTGTGATCAGTGTTTAGAACAGGGTCATGATGATCATCGAACAACATCTCTCAAAAAAGCTGCACAGGAAAGGAACTTCACAGTCCAACCATTGATCAATGAGGGGAGGAACATTGTGGAAAGTTACTTAAGCTTCCTCAGAAGTCTGAGGGAAGAAGAGAAAACCCTAAATGAAAAGAAACAGCAGAGAGACAACGGGATCATTCAGGCCTACAACCAAATGGTTCAGAAACTCACCCAGAGAAAAGACCACCTCTTGTCTGAATCAGAAGAAAACCACACTAAAAACTTGGACAGAATACAGACTGAAAGGGACAGAGTGTTGGCAGATATCAATGAACTGTCTGCTGCCTGTGATCGAGCAGAACAAGAACTGCAGCAGGGAGGGGTCGAGTTTCTCAGTCAGCAAACCGCTCTGACAGAGGTGGTAGGACAGTACAGAGGAAAAGCAGCACCAACTCCTGTACAAACCCAGCCTGCTGTCTTTCAGCCCACAGACACCCCCGTGCCAGTATTGGGACATGTGACGGTCCAGTCTCTCCCATCTGCACCTATCCCAGCAGCACCTGCAGCAAGGAGCACAGGTCATCACCATGGTAACCAAAGGAAAGGGGAGCATCAGTGTCACAGAGTGACATTTGGTGGACGGGGATTTGGACCAGGTCGCTTCTTGGGTCCATATGGTGTTGCAGTGTCAGATGAAGAGGAGATTTTTGTATCAGACTCGAAAAAGAGAATCCAAGTCTTCACCCTGCAGGGAACGTTTGTCCGACAGTTCCCAACAGTCGTGTCAGGTGAACAGAAGATGTGCCCAGATGATGTGGCCATGGACGGGGAGGGGAACCTGTGGGTGGTGGGGGATACAGACTCTGCTGAGTTTGCTGTGCTGTACAACAAACAGGGCAGGGTGCTGAGGAAGATTGACCTACAGAAGACAGGGTGGGGGAGAGGAGTTGCCGTGGACACCAGGAGGAACCACATCCTCATCACACAAATCACAGGAGACTGGGACAACCGACATGGTGAAGTTTTGGTGTTCAGGCCAGATGGGACACTTATGAGAACTGTGGGTCAGCAGCAGGGGATGAAGGAACCACGGTACATCACTGTGGACGGGGAAGGGAACATTTTAATGTCAGACTGTGCTAATCACTGTGTCTATGTGTACAATGAGGACGGACAGTTTCTGTTCCAGTTTGGAGGTTTGGGAAGTGGTGAAGGTCAGCTGATCACTCCCCGTGGTATCTGTACAGACAGGGCAGGAAACATCATCGTGGCAGACACGGCAAACGACCGTGTGGAGATGTTTGACAAGACAGGAAAATTCCTCAAACACATCATTACAGACATGAACAGGCGAATGGCTGTTGCCATGGCAACACAGGGACAGTTGGTAGTAACTGATGATACAGACAACACTGTCACCATATTCCAGAACTTCTGAATCTGAGTGAGGTGATAATCAAACTTGACAAATCTGTAATAATATCAGTTTACTTAACTCTGTTGCTGTATAGCTTGTTGCTGTATGTATAATAGCACCAGAAACTGCTCTACTTATGATCAGATTTGGATACATCCCCTAAGCTCACAGCCTTAAAACACACTGAGCTGTTAAAAATCAAACTTTGTCACTAAAACCACAAATTGAAAAGAAAGAGCAAGACTAGTGGTTACATTGCAATGTACAAAATTCATGTAATTACAGAGAGTTAAATAGAATTGTCTGTGATTTGAAAGAGTTCTTATTCTGGCAAAATCTATACAACAATCTAAACACTAAAAAGGGGTAGGGAATTTTCCCCACCAGCCTCGTAACCCCTGCTTCTCCTATTGAGTCAGTTAGTCCTCACTACTTGTGAGGATGTTTCTGACTCAGGGTGAAGAGTTGCTGTTATAGTTACAGGCTAGCTCTATGCCTAGAAGTGGCCAAATGGCCTTGCATTGAGCGACACCGTTAAAAAAAAAAAAACTGAGAAGGAATCTTTACATAGATTTTTTAACTTGTGTGTTCAGGCATTTTTGTTGTCTTTTGTGAAAAAACTTTGCATATGAATGCTTAAGTTTTGATGTGAATTTTGTCATTTTCCAAATTACAAATTGACAAATACAATACACAAAGTTTAAGATGTGTATAATACAAATTTGAGCTCAATACTATTTTGTGGTCTGCTGTGTTTAATCTTGTTCTTAGACTTTGGCCCCTTTTTGTTTGTCTGTGGACACCCCTAGTATGAAGTGGTCTGTCCCTAACCTGACATCATCACAATCAAAATGGCGCCATTGTTGGGAAAGTCAAATCGACGTCATACTGTTTCACTGTATATGTATATGACACTGATAAATAAGGCCATGTTGATTTGATTATATGGATGACATCCTCTGGGAACCCCAAAACTGATGCGCGCGTGCGAATAAAAAAAAGTTTTGCAAAAAAAAAAAGTTGCTTTCACTATGAAATCTACGTGGTCATCAAGGTTGAACAAATGGCACAGAATATGTTATGGCGAATAATCTACTCTAATCAATAATCAATAATCTATGGATGTCATCCATATAATCAAATCAACATAGCCTAAACTAAAGAAAAATTAGATATAACAAAACAAACACCAAATATTATATTCGTATTCATATTTGACCTTATAGTGGGGTCGTGTGGCGTAGCGGTAGCGTCTTTAGCCCAGACTCGAGAGGGCGAGGGTTCGAATCCGACCCAATGTCACCAATCTTGTACCCTTGGGGAAGGCACTTTACACAACTTTCCTCACTTCACTCAGGTGGAAATGAGTACCTAAGCTTCGGCTAGGGACGTCCCTCGATAGGACGTTAAATGGAGGTCCCGTGTTTGGGAAAGCCACACCCCATGCACGTTAAAGAACCCACCACACTTATCGAAAAGAGTAGGGGATCTTCCCGGTGTGAGTGGTTCAAACCTGTCAGTCTGGTCTCGGGGTTGGCATCTTTGAAAAGGTGATAGTCACCTGTTATGTCAATCCTTCCACTAATGTGGTAAATCGTCATAAAATTTAAAAAAAAATCAATCTTGAAGCTAACAAAATGATAGCTAATGATAAATAAACTAAAATTAAACCTAGATATAACCAAACAAATCTCAGATCTTTTTATAAGTGAAAGTTATAAATATATAAAACATAAAAAACATAAACATAAAAAAAACAAAAGTTTCATAACTTTTTGTCCAATCCTCGAAAAATAAATGTGAACGAAATAAATAAATAAATAAGTGAAAGTTGACTCACCGTTGACTAACACCTCGGCAGTACACCTGGCCTCACCTGCAGCGTTGACGGCCTTACAGGTGTAATCAGCCTCGTCCTCCAGGTGTGCTCGCTCAATGTACAACATCGCCACCTGGGAATGTAGCGAAATACAAGTTAACATTGCCACATGGTAGTGTGGCAAAATACAGGAACAAGTTATCATTGCCACATGGTATTGTAGCAAAATATACAAGCAAGTTATCTCTAGTCGTACAGTATGGAATAATAGGTTATAAGCTTAATGACATGAACAAAGTCTGCATCAGTCAGTTGGTATAGAAACTATATGTATACAATTTGTAAATATGAATTAATATGGTTCATATATGGACTATAAAACTCTACACAACAAATACAACATTAAATTAAGTGTGGTTGTGTGTGTTGGTCCATGTACATGGAATAGAATTATTTTAAAAAAACAAAACAAAAAAACGACACATCCCCACCTTGTTGGCATAGGTGGTCCTGAGGTCGGCGCCCTGTAGGTCGTTGACCTCCTTCCCGTCCCTGTACCATGTGACCTGCGGGGTGGGGTCACCTGTAATCCGACACTCCAGGCGGATGGGGTCACCTTCCAGAACCTCCGTGTCCGAGAACTTCAGCAGGAAGGACGGCTTCACAGTCTTCACCGACTTCACTGTCAAGGAATTAAAAGTCATTTTGAAAAACACGAATTAAACTAGAAAGGTAACATTTGCAAAGCAAATGCATAATGTTTACCTTCGCATATAGTTTTCTCTTCTTACTCAAATACATGTACATTCATATACTAGTATATGGTCAGACAGGAGTCTACATCCCTCCTATACAATTGCAACATTATGTAACCCAACACCAGTTACCATGGTGACAGACATAAACAAATCAGGCCATTGGCCAGGTCAAAGGTTAGTGTTTGGAACAGAAGAAGAAGAAATGTAGTAAAAACAATATGTTTTCCTTCGGTAAACATAATGATGTTTTGCCTTTGATACTGTAAGATGGAGTATAAGTTACCTGACTCTTATGTCAGTGTCATTGTACCTAGAACAACTTTATCACCATGGCCTGTACTTGTATATTAGTTCAAAAACAGGTAAACAGCTAGTAGTAAATGAACAAGTCTTGCCTTATATACTGTCTGTAAAATGTAAGTTTGTAACATATGAAACTCTTACAACACTATATCTGTACCTAGAATTGCAGGCTTAACACCATGACCTGTGCTAATAGCTTGTCACCGAGTATAAAGTTATTACATACAATATAAAATATAAAGAACTTTCTTTCAATGTAACACTTCTTATCAATGATCATTGGAAATGGAGTTAAACTTCATATTTTCAACTACATTTTCATTCTTACAGACATTTCTGGAAGTGAATACAGCCAGATTTAAATCTTACCATGTACTCCCAAGCTGAAGGTACAGCTAGCCTCCTCTCCCACTGTATTCCTCACAGTACATCCGTAGGTTCCTGCATCCTCTCTCTCCACATCAAAGATCTCCAGGTGGTACCCATCCTCCTCCTCAAATATCTCAAACCTCCCAGCATTCCTCACCGCCACCCCATCTCGTTCCCAGAGCACTTCGGTGCCGCCCGAGACGCGGCAGACAAAGATGGCGTCCCCGCCCTCCTGGACGGTTTGGGACGTCGGCTTGGCGAGAAACTTTGGTGCAACGGAAGGCGACGGTTTGGGGGGTTCTGTAGATGGGCCGGGTTTTGTGTCTTCATGTTGTTGTCCTTTTCTTCCACTGAAATTCAAAGAACAAGCTTAAAAAATTAATTGGATTCACACTGATGTAGGTTTGTTGTATCCAATCATCACCAAAGACAGGTTTGCTTCAACAAATCAGGACCAAGGACAGGTTTGCATTGACCAATCTGCAACATTTCTTGGTTTGAATTACCCAATCAGCACCAAGGACAGGTTTGCTGCAACCAATTAGCTTTCACAGCTTTCAAAATACAAACTTGATGAATTGCATTCACATCCATAGTACACATCAGTTATCTTAGCTACAGAAAAGTTGCTCTCACCTGTCTGTAGTTTTGGTCCTAGTGTTTGGGTCTGGGTCAGGCACACCTACAGAAGAAAGTAAAAAACAAACTTTATTGCACAACAAACTATCTAAGGCATTTACTGCTATCTATCAAACACACTATGAGACTTATGTACTTTAGGCCACACCAATTTAATTTGTTGGTTCTCGGATTCGCCTCTTCATTTTTTTCTGATTTGCAAAAAAAAAAAAAAAAGATTCTGGTTCTGAATCAACTCAAAAATGCTCATATTTTGCCCCCAACAGTTGAGGAAATTCCTTTTCTTCCTAGTTGTTAAAGTTTTTTCCATCTATCATTGCAGTGGTTTGATTAAAAATTCAAAATTTATACTTTAAATTTTAACCCAGCCTTTTTTGTTGACTTCATGGCTCATATTGTAGCATTTGGGGCTATAATAGGATGCCTAGACCTGTTTTTATTTTTATTTTTTTTTCGCCCTGTCGCTTCATATTTTTTCTGAAAAAATCCGAGAACCAACAAATTAAATTGGTGTGGCCTTAGAGAGAATATGTAGTGTGGGATTACAATGTGCTATTACAGTCAATGGTGGAACTTCTAGTGCCTAGACATTTCGTCCTATATGTACAATGGGTTGTCACTATGCTAATATTCTATCTGACTCCATTGATAGAAATCCTTATACATGTATTGCATTTTAAAAATGTGAACCACACTCTTCAAATGGAAGATGGGTGACACAGGGATGCACCAATGACTGAATGTTTAGGCCTTAAAGTCTTGAATTTGTTAACTTTGAATCTCTCACCTTCCACCTTCAAGTTGAACATACAGACATCCTTCCCGCTGTTGTTACTGATGACGCAGGTGTACTCTCCAGCATCTCCAGCCTCAACCTCACTGATCTCAAAGTACTAAAGAACAACACAGGATTGTTATGATTTATTAGCAAAGGTAGATCACAGCTACATGCCAAACTATATACATCCATTGTCGATTTTTCTTCCAAAAGACTCAAATTCTCAAAAACTTTTCTTGTCTTAACACTTATTGGAATACAGGAATTGGTCAGAAACATGTTCCATTTTAGCCATATACACAATTTCAAGTGGATAAAGAAACAAAGCAGGCACAGACAATCATTTTTAAAAAGTCATGAGTATCCATTCAATAAGATTCACAGGTGATTAGGGATTAAAAAATTCATTGATGAAAATAGGCACACCAGTGTCAAACCTTGCTGTACAGAAAAAATTTGGATACATAGCATAAAATATTAAGTGTTGTATACAACTCAGTACACAATTTGTCACATTAAACTTTGGTCTATCACTTCTGTGTTCTGTGTTTGGTACACAATTTATAGCTGATACATCAGTATATCAGGTCTCCCACCTGAGTTCCATACTCTGTGTAGAGCTCGAACCTCCCCTCGTCCCTGATTGGCTGGTCCCCTCGGTGCCACGTGACCTCGGGCCGCGGTCGCCCGTCCGCCTTGCAGCCGAACTTCACGAACTCCCCGACCTTGGCGGAGGACGACCTTGGCTTGATGAGGAATTTTGGCGGGAACTGTTTGGGCCTGGCGTCACGATCGCCCTTCTTTGGTGGCAAATTGTCCTGGGACTGGGTCAGAAAACTTGGCATTCTGTGGGAAGAAATCGAGTGATATTTTTAATTAAACACAATCTACTAAATAGTTAGCTAGCACATCGATGAAGGTTGGATATCTAAGGTAAGGAGATACACAAGAAAACAGTAGACAAGAAAATTAATAGTCAGTACTTAAGCAACTGGATAGATTTTAGAACTGCAGAACTGTCAATCTTGTAAAACATCAGACTTACTATGATATACCGGTAGCCTAGGGGTTTTATTTTACACAACTAATATTGCCTCTTACCTTGCTTACGTCTTGGTGTCTATCAGACACCTTCCTCAGAGCTTCTGAATGGAGCTTCTTGCCGGTATATGTAGCCGATGTAGGTGGCACTTTTGTGCTACTGTGCCATGAAACTATGTTCAGAAAATCAGACACACACAACTAATATTGCCTCTTACCTTGCTTACGTTTTGGTGTCTATCAGACACCTTCCTCAGAGCTTCTGAATGGAGCTTCTTGCCGGTATATGTAGACGATGTAGGTGGCACTTTTGTGCTACTGTGCCATGAAACTATGTTCAGAAAATCAGACTTACTTTGCAAAGGGCTGCTGCTTCTCTGCAGATGGCAAGTCTCCTATGTCATCATCTTCGTCTTCATCCAGAACTGAGAAGAAAGACAAGAAAATTATTTTAACCATCCCATCATGAGGCAGTCTGTCCTTGGTGCTGACTGGTCTTCAGATATGTTCATTCGTTACCAAGACTAAACATAGACATGTGTCACTTGAAAGTCCAATGTTGGAGCAGAATGTACTGCACCTGCACCTGATTCTCCATAGTTTTTGTTGGATGTTTTGTCAACATTGCATCAGAATTTTGCCTTTTGTTTCAAACTTTGTGCAGGTGCAGTATGTTCTGCCGACATGCTATTTACTAAGGACGAGGGTTAGAGTTAAAGGTGCAAGTGTCCAACAGCACATAACAGTCATGCAACGTGAAGTCTGGAGGTGTGTGTCAGTTCAAAGGTTAGCTTGCACTGTCAGGATGTAACCATGCCAACCATGTATGTTACCATGGCAACTGTACCTGTGCTGGCACTGTCCTCCGCAGCAGTGTTTTCAGCTGAAGTTAGTTTTGGCCTGACACCTGTGGGAAGGAAGGAGGGAGGGAGGGACAGAAGGAAAGAAACAGGGAAAGAGAGATGTGAGAGGAAAAAAATCTAGATTTGCCAGTTAATTGACAAGTCAGATAGTAATCTAAGGAAGATTATAATTATATTATTAGCATTATATTGAGACAGAAAAATTAAAAGAAAATTGAGTACCACTTGTCAATGATACATGTTAAAATTTGTAAGTATTCTCAATTTAGACTAAGAGTCAAGAAAGACAGAAAATCAGAAAATAATCCAGAGATAGCAAGCACCCCCATGAAACTCCTTCCTCTTCGCCCCCGCCGTTCTGCTTCGCCCCCGCCCCGTTCTGCTTCGCCCCCGCAAAAAATCTGCTTCGCCCCCATCGTTCCTCTACGCCCCCGGCGCAATTCTGCTTTGCCCCCGTCCTTCTGCTTAGCCCCCAATGGCGGCACAGCTCACAGTCGACACGAAAATCGTCTGCAAAATAACAATAAAGGCTGTGCCGCCAAATTTAAAGTAGCCCATGCTCCGACAAACATTCTGGACCACCTTTCTGCCAAGTGGCGTTGCACAAATCCTTCCCATTCAAAAGTTTACCCCTGCCTCACGGCCCGTCAGTGGTTCTTACGTTTATAAGTACTGGCGGGAAATTTCACTCACGGCTGTACTTATAAACGCCAGTACTTATAAACGTAAGAACCACTGACGGGCCGTGAGGCAGGGGTAAACTTTTGAATGGGAAGGATTTGTGCAACGCCACTTGGCAGAAAGGTGGTCCAGAATGTTTGTCGGAGCATGGGCTACTTTAAATTTGGCGGCACAGCCTTCATTGTTATTTTGCAGACGATTTTCGTGTCGACTGTGAGCTGTGCCGCCATTGGGGGCTAAGCAGAAGGACGGGGGCAAAGCAGAATTGCGCCGGGGGCGTAGAGGAACGACGGGGGCGAAGCAGATTTTTTGCGGGGGCGAAGCAGAACGGGGCGGGGGCGAAGCAGAACGGCGGGGGCGAAGAGGAAGGAGTTTCATGGGGGTGGCAAGGTGGCATGAGGGACCCTCTGAGAAGTTCAAGTTAAAACCCAACTATATCCAGGTGGGATTAGGGAACGTCTCATAAGTTCAAGTTAAACCAGGAGGCATTAGGGACCTCCTCAGAAGTTCAAGTTAAAAAAGGAGGCATTAGGGATCTTTTCAGAAGTTCAAGTTAAAACCCAACTGTAATCAAGTACATTAGGGATCTTCTCAGAAGTTCAAGTTTAACCAGGTGGCTTTAGGGATCTTCTCAGAAGTTCAAGTTTAAAAAGGAGGCATCAGGGATCCTCTCAGAAGTTCACGTTAAACCCAACTGTGACCAGGTGGCATAAGACATTGCCTCAGAAATTCAAGTTAAACCTAAATGTAATCAGTCTGCATAAGGGAATGTCTCAGAAGTTCAAGTTAAACCTAAATGTAATCAGTCAGCATAAGGGAATGTCTCAGAAGTTCAAGTTAAACCTAAATGTAATCAGTCAGCATAAGGGAATGTCTCAGAAGTTCAAGTTAAACCTAAATGTAATTAGTCTGCATAAGGGAATGTCTCAGAAGTTCAAGTTTACCTTCTACGAGAAGTTCAGCTGATGACGACGTTTTTCCCGCCTCGTTCTGGGCCTCACACGTGTAATTCCCATCATCCTCTGCGGCGACGTCGCGGACGACCAATGACACGTGACCGTCCTCGCCGAACTCGTACGCGTACTTCCGTCCGTCCTGTAGCGCTGTGTCGTCTTTGTACCAAGTTACTTCCGGCTCGGGAATGCCTAAAACATAAGGGAGAACATCTGATCAAAACACATGTTTTATAGGGAATCAAAAATACAACATGCTGTTACAAGAAAGGTAACAGAAAATGCATAATGTAATGTGTCATCTTTTTGTACCACGTCACTTCTGGCTCGCTAATGCCTAAAACACAAGGCTTTATTGTGTATTTGCAAATAACCAAATTCACCCACAGACAAACTAAAAACAAGACCATGGTCAATTTTTCATGGAGGTAACAATGTAGAAACAAGTACAACGCAAAACAAGATATTAAGTCATCCTTGTACCATGTTACTTCTGGCTCTGGAATGCTTTTAAAAGCATAAGGGAGAATGTGAAAACTTTACAGTCAACAAAAACAAACTGACAAAATAACAACAAGCACTGATAAGAAACTTACATTAAATGTAATACTACCCCACATGATAGGACACTTAATTGAAGTCTTGTATTTTTGTATTTGATTCTATATGGTATGTGTTATATGTATAATAACAAAAAAAATTCAGAATCAACTGCAAAATGCTCATATTTTTCCCTGAACAGTTGAAAACAGTCCTTTTCTTCCTAGCTGTTACAGTTATTCCATCTATAGTGTACAGTAATTTTGTTGTCTTCTTCCTGTCTCGTGTGTGATTTTATGTATAGATATGGGACCACAGGAAGAATAGAAAAGCAGTGTAAACTGAAGCTAAATCATGGATCCAAATCAAGTAAAGTTTGTAAGTTCTGCCGCATCAGATTTCTGGTCTACAAGGAAAACCATCCACACAATAGTGTTTGTTTGGCCCAAGGTCTATCAGAAGGATGCTCTGATGTCATTTGATGACGTAACGGAAATGCCGTTTGCCACCTGACAGATGCCACCAGCCAGGAGATGGCTCAGGTTTCGCCACAAGGTTGCCACAATAACGGCCACGTGCTGAAATATTCGCTACAGACATGTGGCAGGTTTGGTAACAAATTCTCTCACAGGTTTTTCTTTTGGAACAGACAGCAAGAATATGTAATCTCCAAGCAGATATTTTGGTGGCTACAGTATCAAATTGGGAAGACGGTACAAATGTAACAGTATCAAATTCGCAAAACAACAGTATCAAATTGCCAATGTCTGGCAGGCAAAAAAATTCTGGTACAAAATTGAAAGCCGAATGTAAATGCCTAAAAAATAAGCTAAAGCCTGAACCTTTGCTTTATTGAGAGTGACATGTGTAATCTCCTAACACTGTTTTACTGTGTGCTGTAAGCCTATATGTGTTGATTTGCTGTCCCTGACATGGACAGTCTGACTGTGATACACGTGCACTGACCCAAACATCGTATTGACCGGTCGACAGTCAACAATTACAGAGAACTAAGCCAAAACCCAAACCTCTGCTTGAAGAGTAACACGTGTAATCTCCTAATACTATGGACAGTGTCCATGTTTATTTGCTAACCCTAGTCTGTGCTATCATACACGTGCACTGACCGTCAGACATCGCACAAACAGTGGATCCTGTCTTGACCGGTCAGCAGTCAACAACAGAGAACTAAGCTCTTAAAGCCCAAACCTCTGCTTGGAGAGTAACACATGTAATCCCCTAATGTTGTTTAGTGGCCTGCATGCCCTTTTTCGTAAGGCGTAATCAGGCCTTTTTAGTCTTCGTAATCCGTAGGCAGCCTCCCCAAAAATCAACCTAATCCATACTATTACAAGTCGTAATCAGCTCTTAGACTTTAACGTAATTCATAATCGGGGCCAAAATTTTGCATAATTTGTATTCACTACCCCCCCATGCAGGCCCTCTTGTTTGTGTTTACTTGCTAACCACGATCTGACTGTGATACACGTGCACTGACCGTCAGACATCGCACAAACAGTGGATCCTGTCTTGACCGGTCAGCAGTCAACAACAGAGAACTAAGCCGAGACCCAAACCTCTGCTTGGAGAGTAACATGTGTAATCTCCTAATGCTATTTGACAGTGTTCACGTTTATTTGCTAACCCTGACACGGCCAGTCAACAGTCATACACGTGCGCTGACCGAAAAATCATTCAAACAGATTACAAAGTCTTGACTGGTCAGCAGTCAACAGACAGCTAAGCCGAAAGCCCAAACCTCTGCTTGTAATGAGTACTGTAATGCGAAGGACACTTCTGCTTGGAGTGTATCACATGTATGAGGGCCTGCATGGGGGGGTTGTGATTACGAATTACGCAAAATTTTTGCTGCCGATTACGAATTATGATAAATTCTCAGAGCTGATTATGACTTTTCTGCTAATGTACTATTCCAAATTATGTTGATTTTTGAGGATTATGAAGACTAATAAAAGCCTGATTTACGAAAAAGGGCATGCAGGCCCCCAAGTGTACTTTCCCTGTACTTAGGCCACACCAATTTAATTTCTTGGTTAACAGATTTTTCTAGATAAATAATGGAGCGGGCGGGCGAAAAAAAATAAAAATAAAAACAGGCCTAGGCATCCTATTATGGCCCAAAATGGTACGATAGGAGCCATGAAGTCAACACACCAGGCTGGTTCAAAATTTTGACAATGAATTTTGAACTTTTAATGATACCACTGCATTGAAAGATGGAATGACTTTAACAAGAACTATGTGAAGCGGCGAATCCTATAAGCAAGAAATTAAATTGGTGTGGCCTTAAATGTGACTCACCAGCGACGACACAGTCCAGCCGGGCGGCACTCCCCTCCACACACTCTACATCACGGAGGTTCCTGTGGGGGGAAAGCAGATACTTGAACTGACATTGTGACAAGAGTGCAGAAGAAAACATCTAGTAGACATTACCTGGACGACAGCATAGGTCATTCTGAAGGGTCAAACAGCCTGCATCTATAGCATTGCCATCGTTACTGCATTGACCATAATTGCTACTTTTAATTATTACAACATTATGATGGTTTTTATAAAATTTCCCCTACAATTGCACCCCCCCCAAAAAAACAATGGTCAAACTGTTCTGAATTTCACAAACTTACAATAACAGAAGATGTAGAAATAAGATGCAAGGAGACAACCTCATATGATGGGGTTACTTTATGAAACTAAAGCATTGCAAACTGTTGTGTAATAAAGATCTTCTTCTTTGTATAATTCTTGCGATTGAATGTTCTAAAACAAACCTGACGAAGACAGGAGGTTTTGCCGTCTCCTGCCGCCCAGTTTGGAGCAGGGCCTGGATCTTCCTGTCCACCCTGTCTGCGTCACTGCTGCTGTCCATGGAGGTCGAGCGCCATGCTGCAACAGTAAACATTACAACAACTGTTACAACAACATTACAACAATGTTACGACTACTAGACTAGGTATGTTACAACAACGTTACAACCAGACAAAGTTACAGCACTCGGTCAGCATCATTGCTGCTGTCCATCGAGGTTGAGCGCCATGCTGCAACAAAAACCTGGGGCAACAATATTACAACAAAGTTACAACCAGAGAACTAATGTTACAAAAGTCTGATACAGACATTACAACAACAACCCGGTCCAGGTCCCAGTGCTGCTGTCCATCGAGGTCGAGCGCAATGCTGTACAACAACGTTACAACAACGGTACAACCAGGCACGGCAGGAACTAAGAAATCACAACATTCTGCTTTTTTTTTTTGCTTTTCTCTGAGTATAACATCTGTAAGAAGGCTGGACCAGAACAGCCAATTTTATTATGTTTTTCCTCTTGAATTCTTACACTGAAATTTCACAGAAAAAAAGTTACCAACAAAAATAGATTTAACATCGGGACTCTTGTTGATCGCCAGAAGGTCGCCAAATTCAAATATCATCAGAAAGTCGCGAACATCGGCCGATCCCTGAAAACTGCGCGATAATAGAGAGAACTTAGGGCGTGTTTTATAATATATACTGCCGAAAATTTGAGCCTGGCATGTTATGGGCCCAGGTTTTAAGACCACGTGTGGCTGCCATGGCATGTGCATACTGCCGAAAATTTGACTTATGACGATCTTTCCTTTGCCAACCGGGAGCATGTATTTCCTGTGATTTAATCCACGGTGATGGGGTGGGCGGGGTTGTCCCAAATCCACTTAAACTCGCCCCGCCCACCCTTTTAACTAAAATGTTCCTTTTAGGCGTGAAGCCCGACATTGTAAGATCGAGTAAATCAGATCTTTTATTGTCTACAAGACAGTATCAAATTGCCAACTGAACACGGCATTAAATTGGCAGAGCAGTATCAAACACGCCACCGTCGGCCTGTTCAACGAATGTAATGTAAAGAACGTACGTTCCTGAAGCTCACTGAAAAAAAGGTCTCCTGTGCTCTTATGCAGAGCGTAGGGTGGTGCCCATGTCCATTTCCGTAGCCCTTCCGTAGCCCGACACGACACACAGTTGTGCAGGGCACTACAGCAGGGGGCTGGTCCACTGGTAGTGCTGTGTGTTTGACCTTCCCACATCCTTTCTCATATGTACTGAGTGCTAAGCAGCTAGAGAAAGAAGTGTGTACCATTTCTAAAGTCTTTGGTATGACCTGGCCGGGGTTTGAACTCACGACCTCCCGGTTACAAAGCGAGCACTCTACCAATCGAGCTATTGAACCTTAGTTGCGGTAAAAAAAGTCCGACTTCTGTGAATGGGCCTTTATCCCTTTATGCAGTACTGGTAGCTGTCTGCTACTCCCGTCTCCCGGCTGTTGAATGTCAGACGTGCGCTGTACCAGACCTGTCAGCCGTCCTGCCACCGAGAACAGCTAATTAACAAGCCAAGCATTCACTACATGTCCGTACAATATACAGGCTTCATGCAGGCATGAAGGCCGTCCTTCTTAGATTGCGATTGTTCATGGCAATAGCCTGGTATCCAGTCTGATCGTGGTCGGGGCCGTAAGAGCTCTGGCCCGCCCGCCTCACATAGGTTTCCCGGTGTGTATTTCACGAGAGATTAATTAGCCCTCCACTATCGTGTTGGGGGGAAACCAAATCCCCGAGCATACTGTCTCTGATTAGCGTAACACTCCTAACGGGACGGTCTGTTGCACTGGGCGGGGGAAGCTCTTAGAGCCCCCGAAGACACAACCTGCCTGAACACCCCAATACCCCCAATCACGATCAGACTGGATACCAGGCTATCATGGCAATGATTGAAAGCCCCGATGCTTTACATGAACAGTGCGTAAAACGGCATCAAACGCACCGTTCAAACTAAGCATCGGGGTTTCAATCATTGCCATGGACATTCACTACCTGTCACTACACTGTACAGGCTTTATGCAGTGGAACTGGGGATAGAAAAGCATCAAACGCACCGTTCAAGTGAAGCATCGGGTTTCGATCATTGCCGCTGACAATCGAGATCTTTCAACAATTAACGCGCTGGCTTCACGCCTCCTGGAACAAAGGCGCGAAACCAGAACGTTTTAAAGGGTGGGCGGGGCGACTCGTAATCTGTAGATTTGCTACTGCCCGCCCTTTCCTAGCCCTAGTAGTGGCGGCCCTTGTACCGATATCTTTTTTGCAAGCCTACGTTGGCCTATTTTTAATTGATACCGCCCTGGCAATTTGATATTGAATGAATGAAGACCTTCATTGTACGCAAATACCCACTGTGTTCAGTACAGGATATTGTAGCCACCAAAAGATCTTACAACGCCGGGCTTCCCGCCTCCTCAAAGGAACGATTTAGTTAAAAGGGTGGGCGTGGCGAGTTGTGGTGGATTTGGGACAGGCTGCATCAAAAGCACAGTTCAAGGTAGTCTCCACCAGACTTCTTTTGCGGGGTGAACAAATCGTAGAAATCGGCCTAAAAAGGGTATTAATTGGCCAGAGAAGATAGCC